GTTACAACAACAACAGTAGGGGTTTGCAAACTTGCTGAAAAGGGCCAGATAGTAAATACTTTAGGCTTTGCAGACCAGACGGTCTTTGTCACCATTACTCATTCAACTTTGTGATTACAGCACAAAGCAGCCATAGGCAATAGCTAAAGGAAAGAATATGGATATGATCCAATACTTTATTTACAACAATAGGCAGCTGATTTTTCAACCCATGGAATTTAATAATGGCTAGTATAAAAGCCAAATCCATTGCCATTAACTCAATCCCAACTCATAGCAATCCTTTAGGAGTAGAACTGCCCCATAGGGTTTCCAAAGCTGTCCTTTTGGTTAGCAGCTGAATACTGTAACTGCTGCACCACTAGAGTTCCTTAGTAAGGGATCCCTTCCCTAAAACAAAGCCTTGTTTATGATTTCTCCAAGGGTAGATCATATTCTTTGAGGGAGGGCCTTACATAAAACTAAGGTTGGTGCAGAAGATCCTACATTAATAGTAATGGTTCACATTTCAAATGCTTACTGTTGATAGCCAATATCATATTATGAGCACAGATTTTCTTGAATTCAGAACCCAAGCCATTAACCACTGAGATATATAACTCTATTAGAGTACCTCACTGAATGCCCTTCTCCCTTTTAAATTAATGTTAGTAGATGGAAGATTGAAGTTTGAGACTGGCTTATTCTGGATGTTGTTTGTTGTTATGTGCCATCGAGTCAGACCCAACTCTTAGTGACCCCTCCTTGTTTTCTGAGGCGTTATCACTATAGAAGCAAATTGCCCAACCTTCCTTCCAAGGAGTGGCTAGTGTGTTTGAACCACCTGTCTTCTGGTTAGCAGTCAAGTGCCTTAGGCACTGGGCTACCAGAGCTATTCTGGATAGAGGATTGAAAATAAAGAGGAGTAGACCATGAAAGGTTCTAGGCAAAGTCACTCTGGATGGTTTGCTGATGTTAGCCATACAAATCAACATAGGATTTAGCATCATGAAGTGTGCTTTGCCCTTGACTTTCATATGCCCAACACAGGCACAGCTCTGACTTTTTCCCAGCATCCCTTTCACTTCAACCCTGGCTCCCATTTATCGCATCATTTCTTTTCTGCGGTAAGGTCTGCAATGGCAAGATTGGGTTTGGGAGTGGAGTGAGGAATAGACTTAAACTCCCTCATGGCCATTCATATGTCCCTCTTTCTTTGTAGCCAAAAGATTTAATTCTTCCTTTTAGACAAAACATTGGTAGCAGTCAGTCAGATTAGTTGTTATTCAGTGATGATGTCTTTTTTTAGTCCTTTTTTTGCCTTTGTCTTTCCCTTTAGGGAGAACAAAGAAAATGGGCAAGCAACAATTTTATTATCCTTCCTAGTGTTCTATTCTTATGCACAATAACAACCATTTATTGCATAGTAATGGAGCTGGAACTTGAATCTAGGTCTGTTAAATTCTAAAGTGTGTACTCTGAGCAGGATGTTGATATCTTTACATACCATGGGCTTACTTAAAGGACAGTAGGATGAAAGGAAGCAGGGAGAGGGAATTTTGAAGTGGAGCAGAAATTAAAGGATTTCTGTTTTGTAGTACATGGAAAGAAACAGACTTTGGAAGAAAAAGAAAGTGGGGAAGAATGGCCGGAATTTGAAATGAAGCCAATAGGCTAAAAAGTTTAGCATCTGTTAGTAGAAAGCTATGGCCCCTTTTTATGATTCCTTGGCTATTGAGGTGCCCCAGTAGAAAATAATCCCAGCTCAATGTACTAGTAGAAAATGCATCCTGGATACAGCTTGAAATATTTTTTAAATAGAGCATGGTAGTTAATATCCATTTGAAGATAACTGCTAAAATTCTCCTTAAGCTTTCTCTTCTTCCAGGCCAAACATTTTTAGCTTTCTGCATATGATATGGTTTTCAAGTCTTGTCACCATTTTATCTCTCCTGTTCTGTTACCAAGGAGCTCTGGTGGCATAGTGCCTGAGGCATTTGACTGCTAACCAGAAGGCTGGCGGTTCAAACCCACCAGCCACTCCTCGGAAGGAAGATGGGGCAATCTACTTCCTTAGTGATACTGCCTCGGAAACCCAAGGAGTGGTCGCTATGAGTCGGGTCTGACTCGACGGCACATAACAACAACAACAATCAACTCCAAGGCAATGAGGTGTTTTTCTTTTTTTGGAGGAGGAGTTATCCTGTTATTATTCTGGTGCCTTAAAGAGTGGCACCAGAACTAAAACAAATGTCACAAATACAGGCTCAGAGTGGGAAGTTTTCCTCTTGATTTTGATAATTATAATTTTTTTTAAGGCAGAATGTGATTAAATTAATTTTTAAGAAGTATTGCTAACTCATGTTGAGTTTTTAATTTACTAAAAAATCTGCATCAAGCTTTTGCAGTTGGTTTTTCAACCAAAGTTCAGGACTTTGTATTTCTCTTTATTTAACATAATAGAGAATTTTCCTGGGTAATTTATACCTTTAATGTAGAAACTAATAGAAAAATTATTTCTGGTACATATGAGAGAATCACACTGATGAAATGGATTTGTTGTGCTTCGATGTTCCAAAGTGTATTTGAACCATTCATTGAAATCATGTGTCTTACATCAATTAAGAAGGAAGTCTGTGAGCTGAGTTTTGAAAAATAATTTGACCTCATAAATTTATTTGTTCTCACTACCATATTAACTTCCTTTACCATGTTTCTCATTTTTGCCTCCTTTAATCACCATTTTCCTCTGGTAACATAGTACCTAAGTCACTTGACTGCTAACCAGAAGGCTGGCAGTTCAAACCCACCAGCCACTCCTTGGAAGGAAGGTTGGGCAACCTACTTCTGTAGTGATACTGCCTCGGAAACCCAAGGAGGGGTTGCTATGAGTCACTCCATGGCAATGAGAGTTTTTTTTATCTCCTGTGATAATTGTTCTAAGGAGTGTACATACCTGGTATAAATGTTCACCTTATGCACTTGTCTGTTTGGCTAGAAGCTGTGGAGGTGAGTTCAATTCCAGGCCTGAAGGGTAACTAGGGGCCATATTCTCAGGGGTTTTACCAGTCTCTCTATCAGACCAGTAAGCTGCTTTTTTTTTCTTTTAATGATTCTGAGTTTTGTTACACATTTTTCTCCCATTCTATCCAAGATATCCTGCACTGACCCCTTTCTGAGTGGTTGGCATTGGTAGCCAGGGACTATCTACTTCCTTCTGGTCTCATGGTCATGTAGGCTGAGGTTCCCGTGGTCCACTGGTCCCTTGGACTAATTGTATCCATGTGTCTTTGCTTCTCTTCATTCTTATTGCTTGGGACGAGGCAAGACCAATTGTACCTAGATGGCTGCCTGCAAGTTTTTAAGACCCTAGTCACAACTCACCAAAGTAAGATATAGAACAATGTTTTTGTGTAGTATGTTATGCCAATTGAGCTTCATATCCCCCTTGACCATGGTCCCTAGCCCACAGGTCCAACAACTCACTTCCACAGGGTATTTAGCTGTGGCTATTAAGTTATCATAACTTTGCTCCATTAATTCTACTTCTATGGACGTTCTTATAGCACATACAGATATGTCTGTAAAAATATCATCTGCCAAATTTATATGTGGTCATGGATATATTTTTTTACCTAGACATACCTGATCATTCAGCCTGTCTAGTTATGTATCTACCTGTAGATTAATGTTTGTTATTACTGATAAAGCAGTGTTCTGTATATAAAAGTGTTAATCTTTGTTGTCTGTACCTCTTGTGCACCTTTCTGTGTCTTCCTTTTCCTTACAGCAGCCCCCCCCCCCCCCCCGCCGGTTCCATCCCTGTTAACCAACAAACAGAGTTTCCTTCCATATATAACCTTTCCTTGACTTTCTACAATAGTGGGCTAATAAAATATTTGTCTTACTGACCTATTTCATTCAGCATAATATCCTCCAAGTTCACCTGCGTTCTGAGGTGTTTTGCAGATTCTACCTTATTCTTTAGTGTTGCATAGTATTCCATTATGTGTACGTACCATGGTTTGGTTATCCATTCCTCCGTTGATGCTTACATAGGTTGTTTCCATCTCTTTGCTATAGTGAATAGTGCCGTGATGAACATAAGTATGCATATACCTATTTGTGCCCTGGCTCTCACTTCTTTAGGATCTATACCTAGTAATGGGATTTCTGGGCCAAGTTTTTCAGGAATCACCATACTGATTACCATAGTGGTGGTATCATTTTACAGCCCCACCAGCAGTGTATGAGAGTCCCAATCACTCCACATCTTCACCAGCATTTGTTATTTTCTGACTTGTTCAACTTTGCTGGTAGTGCTGGGGTGAGATGGTGTCTCATTGTTGTTTCGATTTGCATCTCTAATGGCTAATGATCACGAACATTTCTTCATGTGTTTATTGGCCACCTGAATATCTTCTTAGTGAAGTGTCTGTTCACCCCTTCTGCCCATTTTTTAATTGTTTGTCTTTTTGATGTTGAGGTATTAGAGTTTTCTATAAATTTTAGAGACTAAGTCCCTTGTCAGATATGTCATTGCCAAGTATTTCCCCCGGTCTGTAAGTTCTCTTCTTACTCTTTTGGAGAAGTCTTTTGATGCACATAAGAATTTTAATTTTTAGAAGATCTCAATCATCTAGTTCATCGTCTGCTGTTTGTCCATCTTGGGTTATGCTTGATAGTCTATTTATGCCATAAATTAGGGCCCCTACGTTTGCCCCTATTTTTCCTTTGATGAATTTTATAGTTCTAGGTTTCACATTTAAGTCTTTGATCCATCTGGCATTAGTTTCTGTGTATGGTATGAGGTATGCTTTGTGTACTTCTTGATGACAAGGAATAGAAAAGAACACCTGATTACCCACTAGAATGATGAGCTTACCTTGTACTATGTTCTTTTCTGTATAAAATAATTTGTTGCAGTTCAGGTATTTTTTAAATTGGCATTAATGAGAAAAGGCAAATATAACAATTCTCTACTATAATTCATCCTATAGGAAACCCTTTTTCAAGGAGAAATGAAGAAGAAAACTGTACATACCTTAAATGTGGGCAGTCAAGAGTATGAAGATACAGAAGGTAACTTTTCATTTTTATAAAGTTTGTGTTTTGAAGCAAACCTTGGTGTTTCCAAACTTCATTTATGTTTCAAAGTACATAATGAGTTTATTTTTACTTTATTTTATTGTTCTTAAATCTTAATATAAGACACCTAAATAAGTAAACCAAAATAACCAAACCCATTGCTGTCAATTCTGACTCATAGTGACCCTGTAGGATAGAGTAGAACTGCTCAGAGGGTTTCTAAGGCTGTAAATCTTTACAGAAACAGACTGCCACATCTGCTCCCATGGAGCAGCTGTCATGTTTGAACCACTGTCCTTTAAATTAGCAGCTAAGTGCTTACTCCAACTGGACTCTTTCTTAAAATAAGCAGCACACAGTGTGTTTTTTTTGTTTCCGCCTGCTCCTTTTTTAATTTTTTTGATTGCTTGAGGTTTTTGGTTTGCTGAACTGTTTTTGTTTTTTAGTTCTTATTCTCCAGTGATTTAGGAATTACATGCTCTTTCTTTTATTTCTGTTTTGGTGGGGAAGTCTTTTTAAAAATAATTGTCATTGGCATTTTTTTCTACTTGCTTAAAATCTAAAATCAATATTTTAATTTTCACAGTCACAGAAGAAGAGCTTTGTTGTTGTGTGTTGTCGAGTCAATTCTGACTCATAGTGGTCCTGTGGGGCATAGTAGAACTGCCCTATATGGTTTCTAGGCTATATTCTTTACAGGAGCAGGTTGCCTGGTCTTTTCTCCCCTGGAGCCCTGGTGAGTTTGAACCCGACTTGTCGGTTAGCAGCTGAGTGCTTAACCATTGTGCCACCAGAGTTTCTTAGAAGAACTTCAGAATGCTTTAACTGTGATCATCCTACTCCTGACCTATTTATGGATTATGATTATCTGTTACTTTGGTGGTTCTTTTTTCTTTCTTTCTTTCTCCTTAACACCAGTAATTAAATGAATTTTTATACAGATAATGCTTGTTTGGGTTTCTTTATTTGCTGTTTCTTCTTGCATTTCATTCCTTCTTTCTGGAGTGGTTTGTTTGGGGTATGGGTAAGGACTGTGAGAAGTTCCTTTAGTGAAGGTCTGTTGGTAAATTCTTAAATTTTATCTCTTTTATCTTCTTCAGACTATTCAAAGATTGTTTTAATGGCTATGTAATTTTGGATAGTGGTGTTTTTCTTAGCACTTTCAAGATCTTTAACCATTTTGTGTTTTTACTGAGAAATAACTTCTCAGTCTAATTGTTTTCTTTTTTTCTGTTTTTAAGATCTTGTTTTCACCTTTGATGGTATACAGTTTTGTTACATTGTTCTTAGGCATGGATTGTTTTTACTTCTGTTTAGCATATGTTGTTTCCTTTATCTGTTGATTCATTATTTTTAAGATTTCCCAGCCATAACCCATTTAAATGTTGCCTTTCCCTTCCAAAGTCTGATGAGTACATTAGACCTTGTTCTAACCTCATTTCTCAACCTCTCTTTTATAGTTTACATCTCCTTCACCATCTCTTTCTATGGTGTAGGTAATTTCCTAAAATCTTACAAACCAAAACCAAACACTGCTGTCGAATCAGATCCAACTCATAGCGACCCCTCTGTGGGTTTCTGAGGTGGTATCACTACAGAAGTAGATTGCCCACTCTTCATTCCGAGGAGTGACTGGTGTGTTTGAACTACCAGCCTTCTGGTTAGCAGTCAAAGCCTTAGGCACTACGATACCAGAGCTCCCAGTCTTCTAGTTCACAAATATTCTTTCGGGTCTAATCTATTGTTTAGTCATTCTGTGTAGTATCTGAAAATTCTGTGTTTGAAACCAGTAGTTTGCATATCTCTTGTTTCTACTGATTCTTACTCAGATTAGCTTATTTTCTTAGATTTGGTAATGTTTGATTATGAGGTCACATTTGATTAAATTTAATTTATGATCTAAATTGCGAGTGTTTTTGTCTAGAAGATTTGTATTTCCTTCTTCGTGGACCCACATGGGAAGCACTGTAGCCCATTTGAGGATACTCACTTAATACCAGAACTTGTCTGTGTACTACTATTAACATTTGTATCCAGGACAACCTCAGTTTTTCCGTTTGCTTGTTGTGTACTGTTCACTCTTCAGCTCACTGTTTTTTAATTTTTCTGTTGAACTGTAGCATTTCTTTTGCTTACTTATGAGCCAGCAATACATACTTTTATATGTTTGTTACATTGCTGGTAGTAGTTTAAATTGGTACAAACCTTTAGGAGGACAAAAATTCCAATTTTAAATATCCATACATGTTAACCTAGCAATTCCATTTTTAGGAGTTTATCCTATAGTTATACTTTAAAAATGTGAAATGACAAAGTTACTCATTGAACCATGGTTTGTAATAGCCAAGGTTGAAAACAAGTGATTGTCCATCAACAGATTTTAATAAAAAGGGCAGCATTAGTGTGTACAGTGTTTTAGCATTGGTGTGTAAAAGGAGGTATGGAAGAATATGTATTAGGATTTGCTTGTCTATGCATTTAAAAATATCTTTGGAAAAGCATAAAGAAATTAATAGTTGTTACTTTTTTAGTTGGGTGGAACTGGATAGATGGGGAGATAAATGTGAGTGGGAGATTTTTTTTTTTAACTTTTTAATTTTTGAACCATGCAAAAGTATTACTTACTTTAAAATTAAATTAATGAAAGATTTTTCTCACTTCCTCCTACCTTCACTGAAAAATATGATAGTCGATTGAAAGAATTAGGCTCAAAGATAGAGTATGTTTGTTGTAATTTATCTAAGATTTAATTGTTTTGTAGTACAGAGGTGTTTGGAGTATATTACTTCACCATTCTGCCAGAAACATAGGTCATAAAATTTTGATTAATAAAATTTTGCTTTGGAGAACTTTAAATCATCTAGCTATTTTAACTTACAGGCGAAGGAGACAGAAATAATACTGTTACCACTGTTCTGTTGTACAATGAAGCCGACAAATGTCCAATATGTCTTAATTGCCTATTGGAGAAAGAAGTTGGTTTTCCAGAAAATTGTAATCATGTCTTCTGTATGACCTGTATTCTTACATGGGCAGAGGTAAGTCTGAAAATAAGTATTAAGTACAGTTCTTAATGTATAAATTATTTTATATAAGTTTGATATTTTGTAGTCATGTTTTTTTTCTTTGTTGTTTTGACTCTTAAGTGATACATTACTATACTTTAATTCCTTAGCATGATTTTATTACACGTAGTCTAAAGCACTGACAGATAAATCAGTTCATAGTAATGCATTTTCCCCTACTTTGGCCAGATATCCCTGTGCATCTTTCACACCACTATAAGCTTTATCAAAAAGGATGACTTCCCTAGACAGAGGTAGAACAAGGTGCCAAACAAGCTCTCATAACCCAGTTATGGGAGTTGTAGTATATTTGCCTTATTAATTGAATTACATGTGATTATTTAATTATACTTTAAACACATCTGCTATGTAAAGTACAAGTTATCATGTTTTATTTATCAGAACTTTATTAAAGCACATATTATGATGTATTATTTTTAATGTATTCCATTCTCTCCTTCACTGGCCTGTAATACCTTTAGGGTACTGAGTCTTTCATCTCTCTATTTTTAGTACCTGAACTGAATTGAATAAAGCACGTTTAATAATTTCTCAAATACATAATTGAATGTAAATATCATAGTTATAAATAATATGCAGCATAACAAATTATATGTGTATGTATTGATGATTCTATTTATAGCCTAACAGTATTTTTAATAAATAAACTTAACCTTCAGTCGGAACTCAGCATACCAAAAAATAGTTTGTAAAAGTTTGTTTCTTGTGTAATTAACAAAATACTGAAAATCAACCACTATTCAGTTGTTCTCATATTAACCAGTTTTCCTTTTCTAGTTTCTTCCTAGACCTGGTTTAAATTCTTTAGTCTTTATATAAAATAATTAAAATTTGTGATTTTTTTTATTTGATACTGTATGCTAAACCTTATTTTCCAGTTATCAAACAATATTCTTGGTTAATATTTTTAATGCCTACATAATATTCTACCCTGTTGAGACACTGTAATTTACATATTTTGTTCAGAGTCCACTTGAGAAGAGGATTATATAGGAACTTGTTTTAAGAATGCATAAGCTATACATTCCTAGATGTTACAGGTTTCATTCTTAAACTACATTATCTTGTCCCTCCCCACAACAATGCCTTTTACTTACTGTCTGTAGTGATTTTGCCCTGGGCTTTTATTGAGAAATGCTGTAAGAAGTAAAAACAGCATTTGCATTGGGTATTATAAAGTGTGTGTCCTGTTTTTGAAATACTGTGTGAAAGATATCTTTTAAAGTTGTTTTTAAAAATAACTTTGCTTTGATTTTCATTGGTCTTAATGAAAATGCAAATTGGAAGGTTTAAATTTGTATTTGGTTCTGTTTGCTTCTTACTATCTTAACACTGTTTTGTTTGTGGAGCCAAAGCTTCCCTTCCCCCCATTTATGTTTTTACTGTGAAATAAATCATATATAAAGAGTATATAAAACCTTATGTTTGCAATTTAGATGATAACATAATCATTTATATACCCCCTGCATAGGTTAAGAAACAGAACATTGCCAGTATTTGGAAGCATCTTACATACCCTCCCTACCAGAGATACCCATGCACTTTATGTTTTAACCATCGTTGAATATTTTTCAGTTGAAAATACTTGATAACATACAGAGAATTCGAATTAATCTGTTGCTCACATATAATATTTTCCTTCCTTTGTGTTATAAAGATTTTGTTGAAGCTAAATTGCTTTTCCAAAAACAGTACTGCCATCATGAAATGTGTTGGTCAAACAAAAAAATTAACTTTGAAAACAGAAGTTAAACAGAATATTCTGAATTATTTCATTTCCCTAATGGGTCTATCAACCATCAGTTAAATAAACTATTAAGCTGAGCAGTAAGAAAAATACAATCTAGTAATAAATTGTTCATAATACATTACGAGTGAATGCTTGTTAGCAAAATCATTAGGTTTTGAACTAAATTTTAACTTTTAAACTTTTATATAAGCACATGGACAAATAGAATCATATTTCAAATTCACTGGTGGTTTTTTCATAGTCATTAGTTATTACAGTATTTCCTCTTATTCTCCTTTAACCCCTTCTGTTTTTAAAGAGAGACATGTGGTTTACTTTGGAGTTCAGCATTAGAAATAAGTGCTCGCATTCACTGTCTTTTAATGGGGTAGGCCCTATGCTAAGGCTTTCTTATCTTTCATGTCATTTCCTATATTAATGTTCTATTTGACATACAGGGCAAGATTTTCAACTCTACTTGTTTCCAAATACTTCAGGATACCCTGAAATTAAAAGTAATTTTAAATTGGTATGTAGTTTAAAATTTTACTGATGTTGCAATTTTAGAAGGGGGAGAATAGAAATAAAAGTGAGAATTACAGTGATTGGAAATCTACATAATAAGTAAACAAGAGGTATTCAAGGTATGAGGGTCACTGAAATATGATTCAGAATGGATATCAAGCTCTAGAAAGAAGAATTCATTATTAATTTACACACTATAATATTATAGGCATTGAAGAAATTGTGCTTTGTAAGGAAATCAATATTTAGATAAGTTGTATAGTCTGTTATACTTATTTTGGACAGACTTCTGAGAATTTTTATACTCTTATAATATCTATATCAAAAATCAAAATTAGTTTTAATTACTTTGAGCTATAAAATTTTGGTCCTGTGGTTATTTAAAACAAAGACTGTGTAAAGACTTTAGAGTGAGTGAGTAACTGAACTTTTATAACCTCGAGACGTTACATAGAATTATTTTACCAGAGGCTGAGAGATTCAGGATGATCCTTTGGTGGCCTTTATGGCCCATGGCCTAATATTCTACTCTTGGGAACATTAGAACAAATTTGAAAGTAACCATGTCCACTCTGACTATGTTTAGTTTTAGGAACTGTTAGGTGATTAGGTTAGTAGTTTATAAAATAATAGCACCAATGGTTAAACTCCACTACTAACTGGAAGATTGGTGGTCATACCATTCAAGGGTGTCTGAGAGAAGTCAAGCCTAGTGATCTGCTTCTGAGAGGTCATACTCTAGAGAACCCTATGGAGCAATTGTACTCTGCACACATGGGGTTGCCATGAGTTGGAATTAACTTGATGGCAACTAACAGCAACAATATAGAAATAGAATATTGAGCTAAACAAAGGAATGGTAATTGACACGTAAAGACAGGTGGTGTATTCTGTTAATCTGAACTATTATATTAGAGCTGTCAATCTGAAACAAAAAAGGCCTTTGAACTGAAAAATATAAATAGAGCCAGTATACCAAAGTTTGACAGCCATCCCATTTACCCAGACTATGAACAAAAACATAATGTAAATAAATTGAAAGTGTTTAATTTGCACGTGATTTTAACCTTGGCTGTCTGAGTATGCAGATTTAAAACAAATAATTAGGAAGGTAAAGGCTAGAGAAGTCTGACACATGCCGTCAGGTCGGTTCCAACTCATAGCAACCTCATTGGGTTTACAAGACTGTAAATCTTTACAGAAGTAAATTGCCTCATCTTTCTCCATGGAGCAGCTGATGGGTTTGAACCACTAGCCTTCTGCTTAGCAGCTAAGTGCCTTACCTGCTACACCACCAGAGCTTCTAGGTAATAGTGACAGCTCCTGTTAATTATGATGCCATATAAATGACAAGAACTCCCCCCAAATACAAACACCTACACACTGGTTAAGAAATTGAGAGGGCTTATTGACACAGTTGCCACAAGTGGTTAAGTTTTGGCCTTAAAGGATTAAGGTTTGAGGACTTTAAGAACTTTTTTTTTTTTTTTTTTTTTTTTAAGTTGTGATTTGGGTGAAGATTTAGAGAGCAAATTCACTTTCCATACAGCAGTTCACATACACTTTGTCTCATGACATTG